GTGTAAAAACTGCTATTTTTAGCACATTTTAAGTCCGACGTGTTGCTACCAGATGTACGGTGTGAGCTGAAACTGAGCGCTACAAACGAAAAAGTCGCAGTGTCTGCAGAATATATAGAAATACAGGCTAAAAAGCATTATCTTGTAGAGGCTCCGAGTCCGCTTGCAGAAGTGACATTTACAGGTGCTGCAGCACGGAGGATGTGGTGTTGTGGTAGGTTAAATCCATTTTACAGTATTTATACTGGACTACGTTTTCCGTCTTACGACGTGAAAGATGGTCCCACAACTTTGACTTTTTCTGTCTTTTTCGCACTCCACCGGGGTCCACATTGTTAAGAGAAAGTTAAGTTATATTCGCTACTCGCGTGTGCATTCAGTGCAGTGGGCATGTGCGTCACTTATTTCGGTCCGGGTGAAACATGACCCCGGGCGATTGCAAAGCCATGAATTAATTAAATATGAATTAAACGAATCCTCGAGGCAGAGAATTTGACTCGAGGATTTTTTGTACTCGAATTATTCGAGGTACCCGAGGAATCGTTTCAGCTCTAGTGCTGAATAACAGTAACACACCATAAACAAAGTTGTGGAAAGAAATCCTCATCAGAGCTGTCCCAATCTTCTTCTGGGCAATCTTCACCTGGATAACAGCATCCATCGTTCTCAACACTATTAATGAAAAAATATAACTTGCTAGAAAGAAAAACAATACCAATATTATGTCCAAAAAAATAAAAGGAGATTCAGAACTTACATGCTGTTCCTCAGATCATTCAGATCCTCTTCATTCAAACAGTCTTGCAGCTCTTCTGGAGCCATACTCATAGAGTGCATGCCGAAACACGTAATTGAGTTAAAAAAATAGATACTTTCATAACAGAAAAAAATACATAGAAATCTTGTCTATAATGAAAGTAACACCGACCTGGATTCTAACACATCTATTTCTTTTTCAGAGCACACCTGTTGAACACCTTCAATGTTGATCTCCTCCACTCTAAATAATAAAATGTATTATTAAAATACATGATTTAAAAAGAAAGAAAAAATACAACATCAGATAAATTTCTAATGGTCTAACAACATGATATTGATAAATCACAACATTATTTACATATCTTATCATAGAAAAATACTAAACATACCCAGACCCCTCTGTAACAGTTGATACAGGTGGTGGTGATGGTGCTTCTATTTCATTTTGTCTCTTATTTGCCGTAGAAGTAACTTGCTGTGTTTCATACCTGAGAAGATAAGAGTCAATTTAATCCATTGTCAAAGACTAATTGTGTCACCACCAGGCTCAACAACACTGGGCCTCGAGAGCTACTATCCTTCTGGTTTTCAAAACTTCTCGGCTTCAAAACAGCTGAATCAAAAGACTGAAAAGATTTTTCAGCTGTGATCAATGTTAGCAAAGTTCTTGTAACTACTCATTCCATGTATTCAGCTGTGTTGGAACGGAGATGTCTCTAAAACATGCAGAACAGTAGCTGTCGAGGACCAACGTGGATGACACCTGGTCTATCGTAACGTTTACTAATTATAATCAGAAAAAACAGGACTAATAACAAGTTTAAACCTAAAAGCTGACTCGGGGCACGTTGATAGAGACAAGATGTTTGACTTAGTTACTGCTAAACAGAGTGTACGCTGGGGCTTGCAGCTTGATACGACAGACCCAACTCTTACATGTTAGCATCACATTAGCCTCTGTGGCTAACATTGCGATTGAGTCAGTTGTGTGGATCAAAAAAAATACTGAAAAAAGACTTCCACCTACACACATTTAATAAATACTTTTAGTAGAACCGTATAACAACTTAATGCCCGATCAAACACAGTAACCCGGTGAAATTATTTCTTACTTACCTATTCATTAGCACCACGGCTAGGTCAGAGTCTGTAGTACATGCCGTTCTTTCTAGAAGAGCTCTCCAGTGAGGAAAAGCTGGCACATTCTGTTCTCTCCTCTTTCTCTATCGCGTTCTCTTTCTTTTCCTAGATTCCTCGGATAATGGTTTTCTAGCTCTGTTTGGTGGATCTGCCATAGCTGAAGTCTCTAAACCGGTCGTCTACGAGATACTGCCGTAAAGCAACACGCAGTCAGTGCTTCCACCGGCGGCCCACCGCTCAAAAACTGTATAATGCAGTAAACAGACATGAGACCCCATAACACTATCACAGTTATGAAAATGAACATATTAGATGATAGTATTACACCAAAACCTTTCAAAAAACATTATTTAAGGTGTAAAAGTTGCAGAATGTAGCTTTAAAAATGACAACGTAGAAAAATGCTTTCGCCTATAAAGTCATCTACGGTAATTAAATGAAAAACTTTAAAGAACAAAGCTGATGTATTTAACACCTCTACATATGAATTCTCTAAAAGGCATATATTGATTTTTCTAAAAATGACTGAAAAGTGTTGAGGTAATGGGTTTATCAGTAGATTGTGTCATTAAAACCCTTATCACTAGTGTGGGACTAATCTAAACCCATTTAAAAGGTGCATCTCACAACATCAAGTGTAAAAGAGTCGTAGTTTAGGAAACAGTGGTAACTGTTTTTTAGTTTTCGTGTGGTTCCATTTGAAAACAAATGAAAATACATAATACTTCAGCTCTATCTGCCTCCCCTGCAGGTCATCAACCAGGCACTGCTAGAATATCAAGGCTGATGCAGCTGGTCTAGAAACAAATTAATTTAGAGACGTTTCGTTATTGACGGCTCTGTTCAAAAGGGAACCTTCATTAAATCAAGAGCTTTGTGGGTGGTTCTGTATGTATGTAACTGTACTGCATGGCTGGTAATTTTCCACCCCAGAAAAGAATCCTCCGAAGAAAACCTTAACTACAACCACATAACATAATTTATAGGTCTAAAAGTGGCACCATAAAAGGATGTGAAGTTCCTTATTGTTCTCGAAGTAGCTCATGATTTGTGTTTCCACTTCTCTGTGCTAAAAGAGTATCTGAAGATAAGATGATTCTGATTTGATAAAGGCATATTGGAGTGAATGTGAGAGCTAAACAACCTTTTAGCTTTCAGTTTAAATGATTTACAACAGCAGGACATTGGAATTAGGGATACCTGGACATCATTTCTGAGATTCTATAATGAGTAGGAAGGTACATCTTTAATGCCGTTTTCTGCAGCGGTTGAACATGCAAGCCAATTGATTGGTTTTGGGTGAATGAAAAAAAATCTTCCTTTTTCAGGTGTTAAATCAGGACTTTTAACACAGCACTTGGCTCTAGACTAAAGGAATTAAGTTGGGTTTGTCAGTTCTGTCCTCCACATGTTTGTCTGTAATGCCCTTATCACTAGTGTAGGACTAATCAGATTACATTTTAGGTTGTGAAGCTTGCCATTTAGTGAACAGCATTAGTGGCTTAATTATCAGCCATTTTAACACAATGACCTGCTGTGTGCCAGCTGGAAGAGCTCTTTATCTTGGCATGTGTCACAAAGTTTGACCTCAGATTAGGTCAAATGTTTTAGCTACTTAAGTCGTCTCATTAAAAACAAAGTCATGTGTTGCATCGTGATCTTCCAAGATACATTTCATACCAAGGTAGCTGACTATTTTACTGATAAGTAGTTTAAAACACACAGATTTCCGCGCCAGGATGAGATTCTTTTATACTTTTGTATCATTAGCCACGTTTACACGCGCCAAATTTCCCCAATCCGATTGAAATCTTGGTTGATCGGAAATCCAGAATCTCTGTTTACATGCACACTAACTAAAATGATGCGATCATGCCGTGAGTTTATATGCGCCAAGTATTCATTCCGATTAAATAGGTTAAGCATGCATAGAGTTGTCTTTCCCGGAAAAAAGTAAACAAATGTCATGTAACGAAATGAAACTTCCCGCTTTCCTAATTCATTGAATCAATTTGATGTTTTTATTTTGCTCATAGAAGTTACATTTTCTTCAGTAAACAACTGCAGGTTTATGCTTTGCTACGTTTTATTGTTGACAATATTAAAATAAGGGAGGGTTATCCTTGTCTCTGCCTTTTGATCAGCTGGTCCGTGGGTCTGACGTGATGGCTGGGCGGGGGGGGGGGGTCAGACTCTTTATTACTGAGCTCTGTTGTGGTTTATTATTAATAAAATGTGACAATCAGCTAAAACTGTTGAGAAAAGTTGTTCATACTAAATAACAGGAGATGTTCAGAAAGTCTGGAAGCCTGTGTTCATCGTGTGGTGATAAACGAACAGCATCTCATCTGCGTTATGTTTTTACACAGATAGTTGCCCAGAATATTTAACTGAGGACGTTTTTCTACTGAACACCAACCTCCTTAAACTCAAACCAGGTCTGTGTAACCGATGTTACCCTGTCTTCTTTACGAGCACGTCTCCATCCACCTGCAGCAGAAACAGCTGCTGCGTTCACAGAAACAGGGATCCGTGCTGCAAACCCGCAATGAATCTGCGTCTTTCCAGTACAGACTTGGACACGTTAGTTGAATGATTTGTGCAATAATCAGATTTTTATTTTACTTCCACAAAATGCAAGTTCTGGATTAGATATAACGGAAACGGGGACGGCGTGCCATCATATTTAAAGGCCGGCGCTCGTTAATTAGGCCATCATTTTTTAAGTCAGGTAGTCTAAATGACAGTGGGGAGGCTAGCTAGCTGTTGCACGCATGCGCAGTGAGCATTATTTTACTTCCAACAATCCAAATGGCGGTGTACATGCACTTTAATCGGAATAAGGATCGGACAAAACCATCTCAATCAGATTTAAATTTCATTCCGATCGGGCCGAATCGGATCAGAACGTTCCGATTGACATTTTTACATGAAGAATTTTTGACCTGATTGGGCATTCAATCCGATTAAATGTGCACATGTAAACGTGGCTACTGTAGTGAATTTCTAATCTGTGTGTTTAAAATAACAGCCACACAAGCATGTGCTGATCAACATGTTATGCTGTATGTTTAACCCTTTTCTGCTTTTTCTTCTTTCAGGAACCCATAAAGTCCAGGGCGCCACAGCTCCATTTGGAGTACAGGTTTTACAAACAGTTGGGAAGTTCGGGTAAGAGCAATTCAGTCTGTGAATTAAATAAGCCTCCCCCCACGATTGCTAGGGGATGTGGCTGTATGTTTTTCTGTCTTTTATCATGATTCGTGCTACAAGTGTGTGTACTGTGATTTTATTTAGTTACACGTGCCAGCTCCTTGTGCCAAAGCCAAACCCCTCCACTGTTGATAAGGAGTTGGGGCATTAGAGCAGTCCTTGACTATTTATAGCTGGGCCTCTACAAGCATTCGAGCCATTATGCTGTCTACTTGGATAGCTTCCCTGGTCCCAGTTTCCTCTGCCTCAATTGAAAGTGTCCGGTCTGCAGTTTGCCACAAAAAAAAAAGTAAAGAAAATCCCCACTTGATTCTGACAAAGTTATGTTTTTTGTTTTGTTATTTGGCAGCTTTTTGTAATTAGTCCCTCTGGCCTGTTTCATAATCGCAGTGCAAACAAACCTAGAGTATTACTAATTCTTGTCATTTCTTATAGCTATGTCTGTCTCCCTAGCTCTGCATTCAATCTATAGCTCTTTGACCAGTTGCATCCCAAACATTACACCTGCTGGGGCTTTTTCAGTGACCTGAACTATAATTGTAACTCTGGATCTTTTGCGTTTACTCTGAGATCTAACTAGTACTACTAGGTAATCTTGAGATAGCATTGCCTTTCTACGTGGGCCCTTTTTGAGGACTTAGGACATTTTGGTTCCTTTGAACCACACTAAATGGAGCAAGGGAAGGTCCTCTTCCTCATCCACCATGTTTGTTTACTCGAATGTCCTGTTTGATAGCAAGAGGTTTAGCTAAATGTTCCGTAAGAACTGGGAATGTTTGTGATTGATATTATATTTGGGATTTAATTTTCATCACTCATGTTTTGAAAAATTTCGAGCATTTTAAAAATCACACCATGTAAACAAATGTGTAAACAAGCCACATAAAGGAGCAAAGTAAACCAAGTTTCAATTAAAATGGACCAAACACTTCAGGTATGAAAACACTTGCAGTTTACAAAACTTGTAAAAAATCAGATTTAGTAAATGGTAACTTAAGGAAACCAAGGTTTGATTAGCAAACAACCAGCGTTAAAAGAATTTGGAATAGCCAAAGATCCTGTCATGTTTACATGACATTGCACATCCACAATATTAACACACCGTTAAGCAAAATTAGAGAAAGGAGGGGGTTGAGATCATAATCAGTCAACCAGCCACTACATGATGACGTCAATCAATCAAAGATACTTTATTAATCCCAGAGGGAAATTAAGAGTTTCAGTACACACAATTCAGAGATCAGACATACATGGGCAAGACACATGACAAGAACTGGTGACTGTGGTCATTCGCAACCCTGAGTCGCGCTACCTTAATGGAGATAAGAGGGTTACATGAGGATTGGTTCAGGTGGAGGGAAAAAACGGCACTTCAGAGTTACCCTCCCACCAGGAGGGCAGCTTTGCTCTGCAAAAAAACACCTCAGACAGATGCGCAACAGACTTCAGACAACACAACATAAGTGTCCACTAGGTGGGGTGGTGGGTTGGGACTATCCCCACTTCAGATCCTGCAGCCACGATGAAGCATCACATGTCACCTCAGTGTGGATAGGGGGAGGAGCATTGAGGGTTGGAGGGTTGCAATGACCCTGGACGCTTAAGTGGCCTTCCCACAGTCCCGCTCAGACTGGGAAAGGAGACAGAGTTGAGTTGCCATAGCGACGGCACATTCCACATATCTTCTGAGGGGGGAGTTTTCGTTGGAGCCTTGCAGGCTCAAGGACGCCATATTCCGATTAGAAATTGTTTTGGGGCCAGACAGAGATAATTTCCTCTCAGTCTTACAGTCTGTTGGTCCTCAACCTCTCAAAATCCCATGACATGACAGAAAGTCTCACTTAACTGTGTAGCATAGGAAGAATCAAGGGCAATAAATCTACTTATGTTGTCAACTTGGCTGAATGGGAACATGTGACTCTGCTAGTCCTGCCCAATCCAAGAGCTTGAAATACGTCGTAGTGTGGACTACTCAGCACCTAATGCCCAGAAGAAGCTTATCTGCACACTCTTAATTCTCTCTTGTTCTTCTGGGCAGATCCCAGCGGTTGGAAATCTTGCCTCCTACCTCACAAATTATTGTGACATTTTACAACAGAGATGATGTTTCAGTTGCTCCTGGTGGCTATGGCAATATTACAGAAAGGTTTTACATTATGTGCAGTGGAATGAGAAATGAGAATGGGGACGTTTAATGACCTTTAAATGGAGTTTCCGCTTCCACCTTACTTATATACTATCTAGAAAATGTTTGCATTAATCTTTCACATAAATATGAATACAAAATCCATACAGGTTAGTGTGCGTGCTGGTAACGTTCTCCCATCATATAACTCTTCCTGTTTTTATGCACATTGATTTTCATTAGATATGTATCACTCAATAGACATGTAGTTCAATAGAAAAAAAAGGATCAATAAAAACTTGAATAAAAGTTTCCATTTTCCATTATAGCCTCTTTTTTTATTGATAAGCTTTTTTTCTATATCGTCCAGCCCTAGTCAGATACAGTAAGCATTGATGTGATTCATGGAAACAGTCCTTTCAAATGGTCTGGCATGACATTCTTGTGCTGATTTCGTCTGCATTGTTTTGTGAAACGTCTCCCCCTCCAGGAGGAGAACGGACATATTCAGTGTCAAGACCCGATTGTCTTTGTATGTCAGAAGGGTTTAAAACTACTAATCTGTGGCTGCTTCTCCAGTTACTTTTATCACCACTGTGTTTTATGGAATAGCTTTGTTATATGTCCCAGTTCATATGGGCAAGCAGTCATCTAGTGGAACGCACTTACTCATCTTTGATTGCATTTGTGTTAACATGGTTATTGTCATATATAGGGTAGGATCTCCTTATTCATTGATGGTTTTCAGCTTGTCTGTGAAATCTATTGAGCCTCTAGGTACGACGTGCTGTGTTCGTGACACAGGATCTGTTCTGATTACGTTTCAAACCACATGAGGACTCTTTCACACCAAGAGGATACCACCTACACCCACTTTTAAAAAAATTACATGTGTCATACATTTCTTTCTGTCTAGGTTTCTCTTTTGAGATTATTTTAACAAGACAAAGCTAAAGCTATGTTAATTTAAAGTAACAGTGTGTAGTTTCCCTGGCGAAAGTGGGCAGTACATACCTAAATGATTGCAAGCAAGCATTGCTTTAGTGTTCAAGTAAGCCCTTACCAACGGAGGGTCATTAGGGTCAAAAATCCCTGGGAGCACAACCTAGCAAAATAACAAGAACATCAGATTCCCTTTCATCACTGGCAACGTGTGAAGAAGTAAATTTGTAAAACAACAAAGTTTATTAATGGTGAAAGTTTTGTAACCATTTATACAAATCAATAAATGCATTTTGTCCTCACGGGCTTTCGTAGAAGGAAACATGGCATCCAATATGGCATCGCCCAGAGACTTGGACCCGCTCCATTTAATTTTGAACAGTATTTTATGGTTGTATGTTATGAAACAGCCAATATTTTTCATCAACTGGGCATCTTTTTAGTCATTTACAACATTTCGATGGATATTTCCAGAGGTTAATGATAAAAACTGCACATTGTCACTTTAAGCTTGCCACCAGCTGTCTAACAACATATACTGTATGTATTTTATCATCACATAACATACATGACAGTTGCTATTAGATCAGCACTCCTCGATTCTCTAATTTCAGCCAAATTATTGCTGACATCTGGAGGTTAAAAGCTAAAACTATCCGGCTGAATTAATAACTTAGTAAAAAGTGTCCAGCTTCACGCGGCTAGTTTCCAGGCTCACAGCACTTGAGTTGTGTTGCACTTGTGTCTCTAGGCTCCGTCTGAGCCATCCTGATGGCTGATCAAATTTCAGACTTGAACATCTGCGAAGAACCGGGCTTAATGGAAGTCACTTTTTCACCTTTCTATCCTCCTCTCTGTTCACTCCAATGTAAATCTTTAATATGCATTTTCCCCCTCTTCTTTTCTCCACAGCTTCACTCTTTGGCCCCTAACTCTGACATTTTTATTGTAAGACAACATTGTTTTCTGCCTCCGTGATGTGGCCTTCTCTCTGACTGTGTTGCCTGGGAAGGCCAGCCTGCAGTTGATTGTTTCTAACATGGCACTTTCAGACCACAGGAACCTTTTCACAGTTCTTATAACCATTCAAGGCAGTTCCTTTTCTCACTTTTTTTTTTGTCTTCTCACAGCAAGAATTGTAGCTGTTCGGTCCCTATGACTAGGTTTTAGTGTGTTTTTAGCCCTTGCTTAAGAGTAAGGGTTTTCCCATGAGTGACATAATGGAATGTGATTGGTCTAGTCATAAGCACACGGTGATTGGCAGAGAGGAAGCTGAATACTCACCCAGCATCTGCCCCATTTAAAATGCATTCACACGGTAAACAACAGTTTTTTGTGGTGAAGACGTTTCCCTCCCATGAAGATGGAACAGTCCACAGATAAGTGGTTTGACATTGAAGTCCAGGATTTATTAAGCGTATGTGTGACAAAAGAAATGTACCATCTTTTAACAATACAAATAAAAAAACACGAAGTTTATCTGCTGATCATTGTTAAAGTTTAAAATGGTAGTTTTCAGTAGGGTTGGGCATTGTTTGAATTTGAATGATTCCGATTCCACGTTTCGATTTCGGTTTCTATCAATTCCTGATTCAGATTCTTTCAAGTGGCACAATAAACAAACTGCAAGTCTTAAATGAGCCAGCTAACCACAGGTCCTGCTTGATGAAGTAATCTGAACTTCAACATATTATGAACAATAACATCCCCTTCATTTTCAATAGAAACATGTTTTCAAGAAAGAAAGAAAGAAAGAAAAAGAATCTCCAGGACACCTACAAGCTGCAGCAAAAATTCGGTGCTTTCAACCATTGGATTTAACTCCTGTGCCACCGCTGCCATCTTCCTTTATCTGCTCCTTCTCCAGCACATGCTGAGCTCTTTTAAAGGAGTCTCATACCGACTTTATGCTGATGACATCACACTGTACATCTACTTTAAGCCCCATGAGATGTCTAAGCTGCAGTTGTTACACACCTGCTTTGACTCTATCAAAACCTGGATGGCTGGGAACTTTCTACAGCTGAATGAAGATAAGACTGAGATCCTCATCTGTGCTCCAGACAAGCTGGTTCCCAAAGTCAGAGACTCTCTTGGTCAACTTGCTTCCCCCAACAAACTCTCTGTTAGAAATCTTGGTATGACCTCTGACCCAGCTCTCACCCTGGATTCTCATGTCAGTTCTCTTGTTCACTCTTATTTCTTCCATCTCAGGAACATTGCTAAGCTGAGTGCCATTCTGTCCCGGTCTGAACTTGAGACAGTTATCCACACCTTCATCTCCTCACGCTTAGACTACTCCAACTCGATTTTTACTTCTCTGAGCAAAACCTCCCTGAACCGTGTCTGTGAAGGTTCTCAGTCATCCAGGTCATTGTAGTCTAAAGAGCTTTGAAAGAAAAGCATCTGGACTTCTTTGAGTTGCTTGAAGACGTTTCACCTCTCATCCGAGAGGCTTCTTCAGTTCTAAGGTCAAATGGTGGAGAGTCCCAGATTCAAACCCAGTGGGAGTTTCCCCCCGAAGAGGGAACAAAAGACCCCCTGATGATCTTCTACATAAACACATGAGCCAAGGTGTGAGGGTGGGTGTGGGTCCTATTCAGCCAGAGTTTCGGGTGAAGCCGCATCACCAAGCGGAAAGTGAATGCGTCAAGCATAAACCAAGCTTTAGCCTCCCTGAACCGTCTACAGGTGGTTCAGAATGCGTGTGCTCGGCTTCTGACCAAGTCCTCCTAACACACCCACATCGCCCCGCTTCTCCTCCAACTTCACTTGCTGCCAGTCAACTTCAGGGTTCATTTCAGGATCCTGGTTCTGGTCTTACATGGACAAGCACCATCTTACATTGCTGATCTTCTCAGTCCCTACACCCCCAGCAGGTCTCTGAGGTCCAGTGACCAAAGCCTACTGGTTGTGCAGTGCACAAGGCTAAAGACCAAAGGTGACAGATCATTTGCTGCTGTGGCCCCCAGACTCTGGAACTCTCTCCCCCTGAGCCTGAGATCATTGGACTCAGTGGTCTCCTTTAAAAAGTAGCTGAAAACTCACCTGTTCAGATTGGCTTTTGCATGTCCTTCTGCTGATTCTTCATCACTATTTTCTCTTCATGCTGCTGTTTCTGCAAATTCTGTTTCCCTTCAAATTTTTTTAATCTAAATTTTCCCTTTTCCCCATTTTTATTATGAAATTGTTTTTTTTATCTTTTTTTTCATGTGAGGTGCCTCATGATTTTTATCTTGAAAGGCGCTATATAAAAGTAGTTTCTTCTTTTTTCCTCTTCATTATTTCTTTAATACCCTCAACGATCATTTTGTTGCATTTAAGAGTCACATTTTCCCATATTTTGTTAGTTTTTGTTTAGATCCTGTAGGGTTTGTGCAGCTATAGCTGGCCCATGTCAAAATAGATTTTAGGCTGGGTGAAAATGACCTGACTCTAACCAGTAATTTCTACCCTGTGAGCACCAGCTTTTGCACACCAACACACACAAGCAGAAAATTATAATGCACACTGTGCTCTTCTCTTGTGATGACTGTGCTTTGAATGCCCTCTAGATTTGGGCCAAGCTTTGATGAGTCAGCTCTCTGTGATCTCTTGGCACAGCCTCCTCTGTCGTGGACGTCAGTATCAGGAAAATCCTAGAGGCTAAAGTGCAGACAGGTGTGTGTGTGTGTGTGTGTGTGTGTGCGCGCGCGCGTGCATGTGTGTGTTGTTTTGCATCCATACATGAAACTTAGTAGCCTAGTGAACTAGACCAAATTCTTGCTTTGCAAAGTTTAAATAATACATTTAATTAGTCTGGCTTGCCAGGCTAGAAACTTAGAGCGACTTTTGCCTTGTGTGGGGTAAATGTTGAGGAATGCTGAGGTCAGTATGACTGTTCAGTACTGAATACTGGCCATAGACAGCTGTTTTCACCCTTCATTTATCTCTGTCACATTTATTCAAATTGTTTCCTCTCTCAACTGTGTAGCAACAGTTCTGATGTTCTGGAGCACAATTCATGATAAGTGAGAATGGTAAATGACCAACACTTGTATAGCGCCTCCCAGAGTAAGGACTTCAAAGTGCTTTACACTACAGTGTATCATTCATCCATTCACACACACATTCACACACTGATGGTGATAAGCTACGATGTAGCCACAGCTGCCCTGGGGCGCACTAACAGAGGCCAGGCCTGACTAACACTGGCGCCACCGGTTCCTCCGACTACCACCAGCAGGCAAGTTGCCCAAGGACACAACAGCAGAATTCTCTGTCCGGAGCCGGTGTCGAACCTGCAAACTTCTGATTACTGGACAACCCGCTCAACCTGTTGAGCTACTGCTGCCCAGTGTTAATGGGCTTGCTGGAAAATCGTTTGGGCCCTCATTTATCAAATGTTTGTAGAAACTGTCCAATATTCCTTCCTACGAATGAAATTTAGAAAGTGTGTCCAGTCAAAATCCGGATTTATTAAACATGCGATGGTCTCTCATGTTTCTTCGCAGTCATCTTATAAATCCTACTTGTGCGTACCCACGTTCAGTCATTTACATACAGCAACTCCCTCACTTAACCATGTTTGGTCACGCTACATCCTCAGCACATGAGGGAATTCCCTTTTTTCCACCCCCGGAAAAATAAGAAAAACTTTATTGAAAGCGAGATCGAGACACTGGCTGCCAAAGCGCTAAAGAACCAAACAAGTTGCAGAGGTCATAAACAAGGTCAAGACCAAGGAGAGGTTGCTATCAGAATGATCTGAATCTGATAAATCGTGGAGTAACAGGTTGTTAAGGAGTTCTGTTTGCAGTTGATTTTATTTGGAAATGTTGCCTGAGAGTGCAGCCTTTTCTGAGCGGTCATTCAGTCTGGTTCCCTTGGCAACGCAGCGTGTATGATCGGGGAGCAGAGGAGGTTCTGGAGGGTTCTCGTAGTTGTAAAATAAAATATGAACTGGACTCAGATTTGTGAGGTTTGCCTGTCGTGCCTCAAAGGGTCCCAAATCACAGCCCCAGAAAGATTTCCTTTGAGATCAGTGCACTCACGGAGGTCACGTTTCCTCTGGTTTACACGCTCTGTTAAATCCTCAAAAAACACATAACAGCCATGGTATTATGTCAGATTCCCATTGGTCATGTGTGTCTTTTATTGGTTTTAGTACCATTTATGCAAAAAAGCCATTTTTCCACCGACATAATTATTAGGTACAATGCTTTATGGATGAGGAACATGTATGGATGACTGACTTTCAGTACTGCGATTCCTCTGTTCTACCACTTGATGCTGTTCGTACACATGGTCAGAGCTGTTCTTTTATTTAGGAACATTTTCACGCACAAGTTCAAATGGGTGAATACCACAAAATGGGTAAAATCGGTCCTACACACTACAAACGCACATATATGTTCGTAAGTACGGTGGATAAATGAGGGCCCTGGTCTTTGGTACCACAGAAGAGTTTGAGTCTTTTGACGTTTTCCTTGCTTAAAAAATATCTGCCAGCAAAGACAACCAGCCTACAGCCTGGTGGTTTCTGACCCAAATCAGAACAAGACATTCTACATGAGCGATTGCTTATGTAGAATGTTTTTATGTGTGCAGGGAATGCTTTTCCAAGTGAAGTGTGACATCCAATCCTCAGAGTTCTTTGTTTTTTTTTAAGTCAGTGGGAAACACTCTGGATAGTACGTTGTAGTGTTCCTAGCTTTCAGCTGGATTTTCCGTTTGTGACTTGTTGATCCTTCCACATTCTGAAGAGATCCTACACACAACCTTTAAAATGGGTGTGGCACCTTGTGTCACATTTTCCTTAAATTATTTAAGAAGAAAAGGTTCATCTGTTTCTACTGTGAGAATCTTAACTGGAGTGTATTTTCTGAACGCTGCTGCGCTTGTGCCAGCAGGAGAATTCAGCGCATGAACCACCTTCCCATGCTTCACTCTACATGAGCTTATTATGTACGTTCTAGTTGGTAATGTTTTCAAATGGGAAGTATAAATCTGTTCTATGGAAGTAGCTAATATTTGTATCTGTTTTAAAGTTTAAATTAGGAATTTCTTCATAGCTTTTTTTGCTTATTTGTCTTTTAACACACATTCTGTAATAAAAAGTCCACCATTCAGATTTTGCTGTCCATTTAAAAATAAAGTGTGTTGTTAGACAAAAAAACCAAAATACAACAAAGACATTATGTAGTTGTGTTCCATTAATTTGTAGCTTATGTATTTATTTTTGAGGGAAAGATTCTCCAAGTTTTTTGTCATTTGTCTCTGCAGAGGGAATTCCTCAGGTGTACTACTTTGGTCCTTGTGGTAAATACAACGCCATGGTGCTGGAGCTGCTTGGACCCAGTTTAGAAGACCTGTTTGACTTGTGTGACCGTACCTTCTCCCTCAAGACCGTCCTCATGATAGCCATACAGCTGGTAAGATCAGAGCGAGAACATACATATATTTGTGTTTTCATTTCAAACCTATTTTTAAGCTTTGAGATGACGCCCTAAATGTCCAGGAGAGGAATGAGGAATGATTTACAACACATAATTTCCCTCTGGGATTTTTAAAGTATTTTTGAAATTAATTCCATCCAGACTTTTGTATTCAGGGAAAAAGGTTGGATCTTAACCGGTGAACAATAAAACCATGTTCTCAACTCCAATTGCCATGCTGATTGCTGGGTAATAAACAGTGTTTCCGTTTTAAAATATAGTAGAGCTTGAAATATTTATGTGTCTCAATACACGTTTATCTTTTGAAACCAGCAGCAGTGGAGTTGAAAGTCAATTGTTCCAGCATCAAGTCCACTCATTCATCATTTACCAGACTTGATTTTTCCTAATGGAAGTTAAAGCTGTGGAGTCTTGACAGTATGATCAAATATTTAGTATATTTATTCAGCTGCGACCTGCCAGGTATACGCAGCAACTGTTGAAGACAACTTGGATCTAAAAAGTATTTTATTTATAGATCAGTGATTCTACGGTCTGATCCAGGAAGAAGGGTTTTGATGAGGTTCCCTCTTAAATACCAGACTTTAAGAAAACGTCTAAATTGAACAGCTTCATGGATGTTTTTATTCTGATCTCACTGCTTTGTTTGTTGCTCAGTTTGATTACTTGTGTTTACCCTTTCACTGTAATGCAGGCAGAATAAATGGACTAATAGGACTCCCCAGAAACTCTGGACTGGAGACATACAGTATTTACAATAAGGATGACTAATCTGCACTAGACTTAAAAAGATGATGTTAGGTTCAACATGCTTTGCCAAACTTGTGTTTTGTCTTAGTTACGTTTCCAGTTTATTTGGTTCATAGTTAAAAATTTTTTTTTTTAGTTAGAAACAAAAGAAAACCTTAATTTTTTTCTGCTCCGAATCTTTTGAGTTGTGGTTTGAAAACCAGTATCTGACATTCAGGTACTAACTCTCCCCAACTGGCTGCTTCTTCAGATAACACGGATGGAGTACGTTCACACCAAGAGTCTCATATACAGAGACGTTAAACCAGAGAACTTTCTTGTTGGGAGGCCTGGAGGCAAGAGGCAGAACACCATCCACATCATCGACTTTGGTCTGGCCAAAGAATATATAGACCCTGAGACCAAAAAACACATCCCCTACCGGGAGCACAAGAGTCTGACTGGGACGGCACGCTACATGAGCATTAACACACACCTGGGAAAAGGTGAGTCTGCTAAACAGGACTGTAGGTTAATGAACCTTGTTTAAGCAGAAGTTCTTACATGAACTTTCCTCTCACAGCAAACAACAAAGTAATGTTTTTTTTATTCTGTTTCCAGAGCAAAGCAGAAGGGATGATTTGGAGGCGCTAGGTCACATGTTTATGTACTTCCTCCGAGGTAGCCTCCCCTGGCAAGGCCTAAAGGTACTGAAGTGCATTTTGTTCTTTCATCCAACATCCCTGGAAGATTTAGATGCTTGGTTCTGTTTTTATTTTCATGCAAGTTCTGTTTAAAGTTAGTCTATCTGGTGAAGACCTTTGTTAGCTTGTCTATTCCATCTGAATGGGTCACACTCAGTGAATATTACAGCTGATCTAAATTTCATAGTGGTTCATGCATTCACTAGTGTAAATCATTTTGAAGTCTTTTGACTTGGAAAGAAGTGCAGGTCATTTATCATCATCATCATCATTATTATTATTATGTGATATATTTTGAATTTTTAAAAATTTCACACGTGTGAACTTATCAGTCCTGTAGGACGTCAACTATTTCTCCAAACAGGTGATTCAGGAAGCAGTCTATAAAGATTTCATAATTATTCAGTATAGAGAAACTGGGTGAAATAGCACTTGAAACGCTTTAAAGAAGGCAGCCAAGAGCAAAATTCCTTTGAGTGGCATTTGTAAAACGGTATTAAAACCTCAGCTTAAAAAGGCTTCTGGATTTTTAAGAAAATCCAGTTTTTAAAAAGCGCTCTCAAAACAGAAGATGGCTTCTGGTCTGAGCCTGTACCAGCTGACGACTTAATGCCAGTAACTCAGTTAAAAACTTGTGTAAACAGTACCGTATCTCTGGGATTAGTTAGTATAGCAGACAACAATGTGTTGTCAGTCAGTTGTAGCTTCTGAAACCTCTGCTAGTTGGTCGGGTTTTATTTTCTCTGGGATATGACGAGGAGAACGGATATCTGAGAGCCTGGAGGGGTGCAACTGGGTCACCCAATTTTCATTAGCCGCAAACATGTTAGCCGGCGAGGTGAACAAACAGCTGGACTCAGACAACATGCAAGCTGATTGGAACACTCATACTAAATGTGACATGGAAGGATGGTGAACGTCTTCAGAACCAAAATTGGTACCGTTTATTTTTGTGTTTCATTTCTGTGCTCGCACATAGCAGCTTAGCTGCTTCAGGCTTCCCCAGAATGTTTCACTAATTTACACAAAAATTAAACAATGTGCTGCCATTTTTATCACTGCATGTACGTATTGATATAACTTCAGAAAAACACTAATCCATAGATTGCCAGAATAACCTCTTCTTATGACAAATTTCCACAACAAAATAAAAAAAAAACACTAACATGGTTTATTTTTTATAGATGGTAATGTATTTAAACTGAACTTCTACAATATTCAAGCAGTCTGGCCAGTACCTTTAAAAATTTGTTTTATTACAGGTGCACTAGTTTATTTATATATATATATATATATATATATATATATATATGTCTAGCCAAGACCCATAGACAGAACTCAGTGGTGGGGCAGGATCTCCGCATGCTATTGGACAACCAACAACCTGATGTTCTCACCACTACTGATGTCAGTCAAGGGTATACACTGTCAAAGAAGACACAAATACATCCATTTTCTAAGCAAAGGACTTAAATACAGTGGGGCAAAAAAGTATTTAGTGGAGTACCACAGGGTTCAGTGCTTGGACCAATTATTTTTACTATATACAGTGGGACAAAAAAAGTATTTAGTCAGCCACCGATTGGGCAAGTCGGTCATCACTCTGTCATCACTTAAAATGATGACAGAGGTCAGTAATTTTCATCATAGGTACACTTCAACTGTGAGAGACAGAATGTGAAAAAAAATCCATGAATTCACATGGCAGGATTTTAAAAGAATTTATTTGTGAATCAGGGTGGAAAATAAGTATTTGGTCACCAAACAAGGAAAATCTCTGGCTCTCACAGACCTTAACGTCTTCTTTAAGAAGCTTTTCTGTCCTCCACTCGTTACCTGTATTAATGGCACCTGCTTGAACACATTATCTGTATAAAAGACACCTGTCCACAGCCTCAAACAGTCAGACTCCAAACTCCACTATGGCCAAGACCAAAGAGCTTTCGAAGGACACCAGGAAAAGAATTGTAGACCTGCACCAGACTGGGAAGAGTGAATCTACAATAGGCAAGCAGCTTGGTGTGAAAAAATCAACTGTGGGAGCAATTATCAGAAAATGGAAGACATACAAGACCACTGATAATCTCCCTCGATCTGGGGCTCCATGCAAGATCTCATCCCGTGGGGTCAAAATGATCATGAGAACGGTGAGCAAGAATCCAAGAACCACACGGGGGACCTGGTGAATGACCTGCAGAGAGCTGGAACCACAGTAACAAAGGTCACCATCAGTAACACACTACAACGGCAGGGAATCAAATCCTGCAGTGCCAGATGTGTTCCGCTGCTGAAGCCAGTGCATGTCCAGGCCCGTCTGAAGTTTGCCAGGGAGCACATGGATGATACAGCCGAGGATTGGGAGAATGTCATGTGGCCAGATGAAACCAAAGTAGAACTTTTTGGTATAAACTCAACTCGTCGTGTTTGGAGGAAGAAGAATACTGAGTTGTATCCCAAGAACACCATACCTACTGTGAAGCATGGGGGTGGGAACATCATGCTTTGGGGCTGTTTTTCTGCTAAGGGGACAGGACGACTGATCCGTGTTAAGGACAGAATGAATGGGGCCATGTATCGTGAGATTCTGAGCCAAAACCTCCTTCCATCAGTGAGAGCTTTGAAGATGAAACTTGGCTGGGTCTTCCAACACGACAATGATCCCAAACACACCGCCCGGGCAACAAAGGAGTGGCTCCGTAAGAAGCATTTGAAAGTCCTGGAGTGGCCTAGCCAGTCTCCAGACCTCAACCCCATAGAAAATCTGTGGAGGGAGTTGAAAGTCCGTGTTGCTCGGCGACAGCCCCAAAACATCACTGCTCTCGAGAAGATCTGCATGGAGGAATGGGCCAAAATACCAGCTACTGTGTGTACAAACCTGGTAAAGACCTATAGTAATCGTTTGACCTCTGTTATTGCCAACAAAGGTTATGTTACAAAGTATTGAGTTGAATTTTTGTTATTGACCAAATACTTATTTTCCACCCTGATTTACAAATAAATTCTTTAAAAATCCTGCCATGTGAATTCATGGATTTTTTTTCACATTGTGTCTCTCACAGTTGAAGTGTACCTATGATGAAAATTACTGACCTCTGTCATCATTTTAAGTGGGAGAACTTGCACAATCGGTGGCTGACTAAATACTTTTTTGCCCCACTGTACCTCTATCTGCTACTGACTTAAAGAAAAACCCTAAGTGTTTGTGTGTGAGTTGTTTAGCTCAGTTGTATCATCCCACACATCAAACCAAGTGAGTGCTGGGATTGGCCCACCAAACCGATGGAACAATGTGATTGGCCCACCTAACTGATAAACCGCTGTGATTGGCCCACCAAACCAATAGCGTGCTGTGATTGGCTGAACACAATAGTGCTCAGGCCAGTGGTAGACCTGTTGAGGTTCCTATGGAGCGTGGCTAGACCGACATGCAGAACAGAATTATTTTGCTTTGGCTACGGTCTGTCTAGATTCTGAAGCTTCTAGTTTTTTGCTTCGACTTCATGATTTATTTTTTAAGTTAAAAATAAAGTTTAGATTATGTTTGAGAGAACATAAAGATTTTTAGGAATATGCAGATTATTCCTTAGATGAATTGACTGGCATCAGAGATATGTGCTGTTTCCCTATTCACGTGAAGTCGTCGTGCACGTACTTGCACACGGCATGTTTGTGTTTTGGAAACTAACTGAGGGAAGATACTGTAGCAGTATCTGATGAACACAGGAGCAGGTTTCTGCTTCTTTTTCCTTGTTGTAGAGAAACAATCTCATAAAATAAGCAAATAAATATGCATGACTTTATATTTGAACTTTATTTTTGTCCAAATACCTCTACAGTAATCCATGTGACGTGATGGCATCCTAACCTGCTACAGTTCGGGGAAATGCTGATCCTTGTAAATCTTTTATTGGAGCATAAATAAAAATAATAAAAAAGTATACTATTGGTTATGAAGAATAATCCGTCCGCCCAGAACCTCACAAAAATCTGAGACGGGAACCAGTCGTTGTTATGGTTCTAATCGTTTATATTTTTTCACCAGTTATGACTCATGTAATTTTCTTTTCTTACATAATCACATATAAACTTGCTCAGTGGATTTCTGTTATAATAGCTGAAAGAGCCTGGAGCGTTCTAAAGGGCCATAAAGACAGGTGCTTGGATGGCAGGTCGTAGCAGGCAGCGGCTCTCTGAAGGCATCAAAGAACGTTTGAGAAGAAAAGACATCTCATCTGAACAGTTGCTGTGTGGGTGGAAGCTCTTGGTAGATGAATGTGAGGGGTGTAGTGTGGGGGACGTCGCATGGCTCAGGCCAAAACAAGCCTTTGTGCTGTTCTGCAACTCACACCAGCTAAAGATTTATGTCTGAACTGTAATTAAAACAAAATATTTGAGTTACAGTTGGCAGGTTATGTTCTTACCTACAAAACACACCAGAACCTCCGTGTTTATAACATAAAATAATTTCATCAGAGAATTATTGTCCTCCCAACAGGATTAGACCTAAAGACTTTCTAGACAATGATGTTTTGACACGAAAAGATCCCCTGGAGGAGGCTGAATCACATGACCTAATTCCACTGATACTTCCTAGGAAGACGTTTTGAAAGTTGTGCCAAGTACTTGATTAGTTTTGATGTAGTTACATCATTCACTGAAGCTACAGCTGGAAACCAAAGTGGTTTCTCTGTGTCGGCGATCCTGCTAACATCTAATGTAACCTTTCTAGTTCTACACTCAAAATAACTAATCCAAGAGATTTAATCTGGCTGCAAGACAAGACCCCAAAAGTAGGCAGAGATGTGTTTATTTTCAGAGAACGATGAATGGTTTTGTATTTTTTCCCTCTTAAGGCCGACACTTTGAAAGAGAGGTATCAGAAGATCGGGGACACCAAACGAGCAACACCGATTGAAGTGCTTTGTGAAAACTTCCCAGGTCAGTAGAATCATGGTGTTTTGTGTGTGTCTGACTTTTTACATGTACAATTACACACATATATTTTTGCTACAGAAGAGATGGCCACCTATCTGCGCTATGTGAGGAGGCTGGATTTCTTTGAGAAGCCAGATTATGATTACTTGAGGAAGATTTTCACAGATCTGTTCGACAGGAACAACTACGTCTTCGACTACGAGTACGACTGGGTCGGCAAGGCTCTTGTGAGTGCACCTTACAGAAACGCCTTGACCTCACACTAGGACTGGACGATAATTCAATAGTTCAATATATCTACCGATAGACATGTGGTGCGATAGGGAAAAAAAATGGGTCGATAAAACTTTGATAAAAAAAAGTTTCCTTTTTTCATTATAACCTATCAGGTAGCAGCATACTAGACTCACCACTTACTCCTAATCAATCAAAACCACAGACTCGGGCACGCTACGTCACCAGGCCCTCCCCTCCAAAACAGAGCATGAGGCAGCAAGATGTCTCAGCGAGAAGAGGCAGAGAAAAAATTAAAA